GGTTCTCCTAGTCCTGAACTAATTCAAGTTTTGTTTCTCCCTAGAAACTGCAAACCGGCAAGTCTATGACGACTTTTAACTATTCCACTGTTTTCAAAACACATCTGTGAATTCCAAAATTTGCAGAGGTACATTTATTTTTGTGTAGTGTTGATGTCACGTCAAAACTTCGAAACCATGACCACACCTGTGCCCCAAGTAGAGTGCTTCTGTGCTAAAAACCCACTGGACGCCAATTTTTACGCAAAGGTTATTTGTAGTCTCTTTGGTAGATAAATGGTGACCTGAATTGTCAGGTTTAGCAAATAAAAATACAGGATGTCTAGTTAAATTTTATTTTCAAATAAACAATATTTTTAAAGTATAGCTATGGCCCAAATATTGCAAAGGATATGCACTTATACTAAGAAATGATTTGCTGTTTACAAGTTCATAATACAGAAGGCATGCTGCATATTATCTCGCAACCTTACCAGTGACTACCTTTTGGCAAACTCTTAAGAGGTGCCTCCTACTTATAGATACCAAGAGGAACAGATTGGTTTTTACCATTCGGTGAAAAGTTAAATGTTCAATTACTTTGTCATATTAAGTAATAACAATTGACAAGTCTCCTTTTCTCTGGAACTCAAGTGAATTTTGTAGCTCTGGCTTTTAAAGGACAGGACAGCTCTGGCTTCATCTTAAAAACAAAAACAAAAAGACCAGGATGATGTTATTTTGAGTTATCTTTGAAGTAGACAAGGGCTAACATGTTTAGCCCTTAAAAATAAGCCTGTCAAAAAGTTTTAACTATTAGCAGAGGAAATCAACCTTGCAGAACTAAGTAGCTGTTGCTTAGCTATACTACAGAGGAGGAACATGTTGGACCTTGTGAAACTTAATTTTACCAGGAAGAGGCAGAGAACGGAAGCTAATGTAGAAAATACTCTTGAGAAAGTGTCCATTAGTTCCTCTAACACAATAAGAAATACATTAGCCAATAAGGTTAAATTACTGGCATAAACAAATGAATACAGGGGAATGGTAAAACCTTGATAGGAGGAAAGAACATATAGCCTATTAAGGCATCAGGTGATAAAGCATTAGAAAGTAGAACAAATTGTTTCATTCCAACTGAATACATATTCAAAGAAATGCTTAGAAAAGATTGAGTGTTTACATTTATAAGGTTAATCTAACTCTATGGTCAAAACTTTTGTGCATCTTCTTTTCATCAAAATAGCCTTATTGGTACATTGCATTTGTGTATGTTGGGAGTCAAGTCTCCATGGATCTCTTGCATTTCTGCACATCTAATTTCAAAGATAATATTACCCTCCAGGGCAAAGTTTGGGTAGGTTTTCTAGCAGCCTTTTAAAAGACAGGACTTTCCTAAGTGTGGAATTCCTCCCATCTTATAACAAACTCAGTGCATGTGCAGCACCCACCTGGCAGCTCTACTTTACCCTACGGGACTTTGGAGTGAGGGGAATCTATCTATGGGAGTATGAAGTTCATGCTTCCTATTGTGCTTTGAGTAATAAAGTCCTTTGTCTCTGACCCAGAAATCGCATGCCTTCTGCTAACTTCTATGAAACTGTGGCAGGCTACTTGTTAGCTTGCAACTAGAGTAAAATATCAGATCCTTCACAGTTTCTGACAACATATCTCTTTCTTAGAAAAAGGGCTACACAGGAAAGTTCCCACTGTGAACACACAGAGAGGACTTTGAACAACACA